GTTTGTCTGCATGTCATTTGTCTATCGTCTGTCTGCCTGTCATCTGCCTATCGTCTGTTTGCCTGTCATTTGCCTGTCGTTTGTATGTCGTCTGTTTGTCTGTCCTCTGTCAGTCTGTCTGTCTGCCTATCACTCATATGTCTGTCAGTCTGTTTGTCAGTCTGTCAGTTAGTCAGTCAGTCTGTCACTCTGTCGGGCAGTCGGCCAGTCGGTCAGGCAGTCGCCCGTCTGTCTGTCAGACAATCGTCCGTCTGTCTATTAGTCAGTCGTCCGTCTGTCTCTCAGTCAGTCGTTCATCTGTCAGTCAGTCAATCATCCGTCTTTCTGTCAGTCATTCGTCCGGTTTGTCTGTCAGTCAGTCTGCCCGTCAGTCGTCTGTTAGTCTGCCCGCCAATCGTCCTTCAGTCTGCCCGTCAATCGTCTGTCAGTCTGCCCGTCAGTTGTCCGTCAGTCTGTAAGTCAGTCGTCCGTTTGTCTATCAGTCAGTCGTCCGTCTGTCTGTCGGTCAGTCGTCCCATCTGTCCGTCGGTTAGTCGTCCGGTTTGTCCGCTGTTGGTCAGTCGTCCGGTCTGTCCGCCGTCGGTCGGTCGTCCGGTCTGTCTGCCATCTGTCTCTTATACACATCTAGATGTGTATAAGAGACAGGTCCGCCGTCGGTCGGTCGTCCGGTCTGTCTGCCATCGGTCAGTCGTCCGGTCTGTCCGCCGTCGGTCAGTCGTTCGGCCTGTCCGCCGCGCTCAGTCGTTCAGTCTGTCCATCGTCGCTCAGTCGTCCGGTCTGTCCGCCGTCGGTCAGTCGTCTGGTCTGTCCGCCGTCGGTCAGTCAGTCGGTCATCAGTCTGTCCGCCGTCAGTCAGTCAGTCGATCATTAGTCTGTCTTTCGATCAATCGGTCGTCCGTTTGTCTGTCGGTCAGTCGGTCGTCCGTCTGCCTGCCGGTCAGTCGGTCGTCCGTCTGCCTGTCGGTCAGTCGGTTGTCCATCTGCCTGTCAGTAGTCGGTCGTTTGTTTGCCTGTCGTCAGTTGGTCGTCTGTCTGACTGTCGTTAGTCGGTCGTCCGTCAGCCTGTCCTCAATCGGTCGTCCGTCTTCCTATCCTCTATCGGTCGTCCGTCTTCCTGTCGTTAGTCGGTCGTCCATCTGCCTGTCGCCAGTCGGTCGTCCGTCTGCCTGTCGCCTGTCGGTCGTCCATCCGCCTATCGTCTATTGGTCGTCCTTCTGCCTGTCATCTATCGGTCGTCCGTCTGCCTGTCGTCTGTCGTTCGTCCGTCTGCCTGTCGTCTATCGGTCTGTCGTCTCCCTGTCGTTTGTCTGTCTGCAGACGGACGACCGACAGACGACAGGCAGACAGACGACAGGCAGACGGACGACTGACAAACGACAGGCAGACGGACGACGACTGGCGACAAGCAGATAGATGACCAATTGGCGACAGGCAGACAAACGATCGATTACTTACAGGCAGACGGATGACCGACTGGCCGGCAGGCAGACGGACGACCGACTGACCGACAAGCAAACAGACGACCGACTGGCCGACAGGCAGACTGATGACCGACCGACGACGGACAGACTGACGACCGACTGGCCGACCAACAACGGACAGACTGATGACCGACTGACTGACCGACAGCAGACAGACTAATGAACGACTGACAGATCGAGGCGGACAGACCAGACGCCTGACCGACGGCGAACAAACCGGACGACTGACCGACGGCGGACAGACCGGACGACTGACCGATGACGGACAGACTGGACAACCGACCGACGGGACCACTGACCGACAGACAGACGGACGACTGACTGACAGAATGACGGACGACTGACTCGCAGACTGACGGACGACTGACTGGCAGACTGACGGACAACTGGCGGGCAGACTGATGGATGACTGACGGACGACTGGCGGGCAGACTAACAGACGACTGTCGGCCTGCCTTCCCATCGTCCGCCTGCCTGCCTGTCGGTCGTCCGTCTATCTGTCGTATGTCGGTCATCTGTCTCCCTGTCGTCTGTCGGTCTGACGTCTGCCTGTCGTCTGTCGGTTTGCCGTATGTCTGTGTCAGTCTGTCGGCCTGCCTGCCTGCCTGCCTCCTGCCTGCCTACCTGCCTACTTGCCTGTCGGTCGTCTGTCGGTCGTCCGTCTATCTGTCGTCTGCCTGTCGCCCGCCTACCTGCCTGCCTACCTGCCTGCCTACCTGCCTGCCTGCATGCATGCATGCATGCATGCATGCATGCAACCCTCAATGCCACGACCACAGGTAAGTACCGGCCCTACGGGCCTGCCAAACAAGCAAGTACCCTTGCGGGTCACACACGCACTCATGTCGACAAGCACTCAGACAGGCACGCAGGTCAACAAGCATGCACACATACAAACTTATAAAACTTAGCAGAATGCGGGAATCTCAACAAGCCATCCATTCCATCGGCAAAACTTCATAAATCAGCAGTGTTCTCAGTCTGTTTTATGGCGGGTCATTACACTACCCCCCCCTCAAGAGCGAGGTCCCTTCGAGCGAGTAACTCAATCAGAGTCCCTGCATAATGCATCATAAGTGTAAATGGCAAAGAGAGATCGGGTATGTTCTGTAGGAGTGAGGGTAGCAATAAATTTAGGTTGCTGTTTAGAGCTAATCAGTCGTTTATATGCGCTGACGACTCGCGGGGCACTCTGCAACAAGTCTTTCTTAGCAATCCAGTAAAAGTCATTCAATGGATGATATAGAAAATAGACTTTGTATTGTTTCTTTCTCCCTTTTCCACTGTGCTCGACAATGCTATCAATCTCGTGACCGCCATTGATTGCGCGGGGAATCATCGATTCTCGATATCGGAAAGTTTCGGGTGGTTCATACGGAAACAATTTCGACGCGTGAAAGACAGGGTACGTGCGCAGATGAGGGGGCACGTCGATCTTGTAAGAAGGACCACATGAATCATCTCCTACTTGGTTCAACACCTTCCACGGACCGTAATACTGAGGAAGAAGCTTTCATGATACACCTTCTTCTTCAGAAAACTCAGACATTTTTACCCACACATAACTTCCCACTATGAAAGGTTCAGGCTGGCGCTTTTTGTTAGCATGTTTAATCATGGCACTGCGTCGCCTTTCCATAGCTGCGACAACAACTTTGAGCAAGTGATCAAACTTAGCGTTGTAGCCTGGCTGGCCAGGTGTTAGGCCAGGTGGATGGTCAGGAAACAGATAGGATAGGGGATTGCGAATTTGCCACCCAAGGTGCAACCGATTAGGTGTCATCCCGGTGGAGGAGTGTATGGAGTTGTTGTACAATCCTTGCACAATCGGCAATTCCTCATCCCAAGAATTCTGATCGGGCACAATTAGAGCTCGGAGAAGTTGGATCGCAGTCTGGTTGATCTCCTTGGCCAGTCCATTGGCTTCGGGATGTCGGCCAGACGTCATCTTGAGTTTGATGTCATAGATCCGGGAGGTGAAGTCCTTCCAATCTGCACTTATGAACCTAGTGCCGCGGTCACTCACAAGAGTTTTCGGGGGCCCACAATGTAGAATGTACCTTTTGTGAAACTCCATGATCACAAGGTCAGTTGGGGCGTGAGGTGGTAATTGGATCAGGGGCGTGAGGTGGTAATTGGATCAGATTCAGAAACTTTGAAAAGCGGTCAACGATCACCATTACTTGTGAGTATCCGTTCCTGCTCTTCTTTCCCATGTCCGTGAAGTCGATGGAAAGAGACTCACCCGGGCCATCAGGAATAGGAAGAGGATGCAGCAGCCCATATGGGTTTTGTTGAGATGGTTTGATGTGTTGACAAACTTCACACTTGTTACGATCCTGGTCATTTCCCAAGTGCAAATTCACAATGAAAGACAATGTCACCCAATTGCGAAGGAAATGAAAGCACTTGCAAAGAGATAAAGACCGGCCTGACTCTGCCTCGAGATGTCTTGGTGCAGCGCTACCCCAACTGGGGCCTTCCAGATGCAGGCCCAACAAGGTGATGAAGACGGTGTCCACCATAGCCAGGTAAGTGCCCTGCCACTCTCCTACCTTACCCCCTTCTTCCTCCTCCTCAGGCTGGGTTGCTCGCCATAGCTAGGCTGAGCTCCCAGCTACCTTCACCTCCGCCCAGCGCTGTAGCAGACCAGCGCTAGCGCTCCAGCAGCACGACGCCAATCCTTGCACACCGCAAATGAGGAAGAGCTCTCCGCTCTTCCTGAAGATATAGTGGCCTACCGGCCTCCTGGGGGGTGACTTCCTAGGCCGAGTGGCCTCCCACCAACCGGTACCTCCTCCCTTTCGGAGGGAAACATCATTGCAGGCTCTGTTATCGTCCGCATAGGCCCTAGACCCGGGCTACTTGGACTGGTACCGGCCTACCTCTAACCTACCACTACTGGGCCTCTAAAAATGCCGACTTTTTGTCTTCTTCTGCTCGGCCTACCTGCTACTTGAGTGTTTTTCCCCAGCTGCTCTAAGTGTCGTGGGCCTACCCCTCGCTACCAGCGTGTTTACCCCCCTGCAATCCTTCAAAATCACGGCCACAGGTAAGTACCGGCCCGGCGGGCCTTGCAACCAACAAGTACCCTTGCGGGTCACACACACACGTACCCAATCGGCAAGCACTCAGACAGGCATTCAAACCAGTAGGCACGCACACACACAGACTTGGAACCACAGCAGAATGCGGGAATCACAGCAAGGCATTCATTCCAGTGACAAATCCCATAAATCAGCAGTGTTCTCAGTCTGTGTTTTTGGCGGGTCATTACATTACTCCCCTCTCGAGAGCGAGGTCCCTTCGAGCGAGTAACTCAGTCAGAGTCGGCACAGAACGCATCGTAGGAATACATCAGAAAGAGAGACTTAGTCAATCCATGAGGAGTCATTGTTGTGGTGAACTTAGCAGTCTGTCCCTCAGTGATTTGTCTTTCATAAGCGTTCACAACACGGGGAGCATTCTTTAGCAGCTCTTTCAGGTCGATCCAAAAGAATTCAGTCAACGGGTGGTAGAGGAAGTGAACCTTATACTGTCTGTTCCTCCCTTTGCCCTCGTGAGAAACGATTCGGTCTATCTCATGGCCACCATCGATAGGGCGAGGTATCATAGGATCTCGGAAGGGAAACGTCTCATCATCAATGTGTGGGAACAGTTTGGACGCATGAAAGACCGGATACGTGCGCAGATGAGGAGGCACGTCAATCACAAATGAAGGGTCAAAGTCATCCTCGATTACCTTCAAAATCTGCCAAGGGCCGTGGTACAATGGAAGAAGTTTCTGTGATACGCCCTCTTCATAAAAAAACTCAGACATTTTGACCCAAACATAATCCCCAACTTTGAATTTTTCTTCTTTGCGCAGCTTGTTAGCATGTTTGATCATGGCATGCTGGCGCTTGTTCATGGCTGCAATAACAGCTTTGAGAAAGCGTGCGTACTTGGCATTGTAGCCAGGCATGTTGGGCATCAGACTAGGTGACCGTTCGGGGAACAGATAAGAGAGGGGATTGCGCATCGGCCATCCATACTGCAGCTGATTTGGTGTCACACCACTTGCAGAGTGAATGGAGTTGTTGTACAGCCCCTTCACTTTGTGTAATTCCTTGTCCCACGTGTTCTGATCTGGAACAATCAGTGCGCGTAGCAGTTGGATGACAGTCTGGTTGATCTCCTCGGCCAATCCGTTGGCTTCGGGGTGTCGACCAGAAGTCCGGTTCAGTTTGATGTCGTAGATCTGAGACGTGAAGTCTTTCCAATCTTTGCTGATGAATCTGGTGTCCCGATCACTCACAATAGTTTTCGGGACGCCGAACTGTAGAATGTACTGCTGATGGAATTCCTCGATGACAAGTTCAGTCGGGGCATGAGGAGGGAGAGGAATCAAGTTCAGAAATTTAGAGAAGCGGTCCACAATGACCATGACTTGTGAATTCCCAGCCTCACTCACCTTTCCCATGTCCGTGAAGTCGATGGAAATCGACTCACCGGGTCCATCAGGAATGGGGAGAGGTCTCAATAGGCCATAAGTCTTATGCCTGTGGACCTTGATTCTTTGGCATACCTGACATTCAGCAATGAATTTCTGAGCAGATCCTTTCATTCCTGGCCAATCAAATTGCTGCAAAAGACATCCATAAGTCTTCTCAAAGCCAAAATGTCCACTCCGACCATGTGCCAAATCCAAGAAATGAGTTCAGAGAGGCGCATGGTTGGGTACACGCAAACGGTCAAACTTCCCATACCGACGGAATACAAGACCCTCGCATTCATGAAAATCAGGCAGACTGTTAGGGTCAGCCTTGAGCTGCTCAAGGATGGAACTGAGGTCCGGATCCTTGGCGGTGTGTTCAGCCAGATCCTCCTTCAGTTTCCTTCGGAGGTCGTATGAACCCACAAGGCAAGTCAAGAATTCAGGATGGCGGGACAATGCATCAGCAACCCGGTTATAATAGCCTTTCTTATGTTTCAACTCGAAACTTTAAACATCAATGTCATGCAACCAGCGGGTCAATGTAGGAGAGAGTTCAGATTGTGTCTGAATCCACTGCAAGGTCTGATGATCAAAGTAGACCTTGAAGTGGCGACCCAAGAGGTAGTGCTTCCAGTGTGCGAGGGCTTCGAGCAGGGCGTAAAGCTCACGCATATACGTGGAAGTAGCTACCTTGTGGCTGGGCATGCGTTTGCTGTAATACTCGAGCGGACACAGGCCATCACCATCATCTTGTTGCAGCACTACACCAATCCCGAATTGGCTCGCATCCGTAGTGACTACGAACCTGAGGTTGGGATCTGCAATGCGAAGCACAGGATAACTCACCAATGCCTCTTTCAAGGCTTGGAACGCAGACTCACACTTCGCACACCATGCATAGGCAACATTTTTGTTGGTTAGTCTTGAGAGAGGGTGAGCAATGACAGAGAATTTGGGCACAAACTTCCGGTAATACGAGGCCAAACCGAGGAAAGAACGCAGTTCGCGTACATTTGCTGGTTGAGGCCAGTTTCGAATGACCTCAACCTTGGTTGCCTCCGGCTCAAGGCCGTTTGCAGACAACCGATGCCCAAGATAGATGACGCTGTCCCTCCCAAACTCAGATTTCTCTAAGTTGAGGTGCAGTTGCGCCTCCTTGAGGACCTGCAAAACTTCCTCAAGGTGCTTGAGGTGCTCTTCCATGGTTTTGTTGAAGATCAGGATATCATCAAGGTACACGACCACATACCTGTTGAGTTGATGGCGAAGTACCTTGTCCATGAGGCACTGAAATGTGGCTGGTGCATTCGTGAGACCGAAGGGCATAGCGATAAACTCGTACAGCCCATCGCGTGTTTTGAATGCAGTCTTGTGCTGGTCACTCGGATCAACTTCAATCTGGTGGTAGCCAGATTTGAGATCGATCTTAGAGAAAACCTTGCACCCACTGGCCGCATCTAGCAGATCATTTATGTGAGGTAAAGGATAAACATTCTTTCGGGTGATTCGATTGAGGCCACGACAGAGTTCGCAACCAGGATTTTTAGGAATACCTATAACTAAACTAACCACACACTTTTCGAAAACCAACCAACCATGACTACTGTATACTTGGTCTACCACACCTTTACCTACCTCCAACTGATCCGGAAAAAAAAAAACGGGTACCTGTACCTGCCCATGCCTGAACCTCTGCAGACTGTAACTGCCCGTACCCGCCCTTGGGTTTTTTTTTTTTTTTTAACCAACCATGGCTAACTGAACCCAAACCGTGTCTTAACCACCCGTACCATATCCAACCGAAATTTTCCTTACCCGTGTTCAGCCGTACCCGTCCCCACCTACCCACAATTGTATGCACCTACCCGTAACCGCCCACACCTGTTATCCACCCTCCCCTAACTGCCCCTAACTGCTCCTAACTGTTCTAACCGCCCCTAAAAACCCCCAACCGACTCTAACTCCCCTCACAACCTTTGGGCTGTGGTCGGGGTCCAGCAGTAATAGTTACTGCAACTGTTGTCACAACTGCAGCGATAGTCAATTGTGGTGCATCTGCTGCAGCAGCAGCAGCAGATGCAACCCCTCCAGCAACTACAGAAATGATGTCAATGGAACAACTGCAACAGATGTGGTGCATCTGCAGCCGCAGCAGCATATGCAACCCCTGCAGCAACTGCGGAAATGATGTCAATGCAACTACTGCAGCAGCATATGCAACCCCTGCAGCAACTGCAAAAAAAAAAAACAAACGGGCCTACGACTTCAGATGGTGGGAAAGGGNGGGGGGGGAAGGGCTGGGAGGGGGGCAGGTGGAAATACAAGAGGTAGTGAACCACGGTTACCCGAGTGGATCCTCTACCCGCCCGTACCCGCCCCCCATTTTTTTTGTCTGCCCCCGTACCTGTCCATACCGGTTTTAGTTTTATGTTTGGCTGGCCCTACCTGCATGTGATCTTCATAAATACTAACTGTGCCTACCTGTCATCTCCAGAAAAAACAAATTTGCCTACCCATAACCAACCTCCCCTTCGGAAAGGGGCACCCAGACCTACCCATGACCTGGCGGTTACGGTTGGGTGCAGTCGGGTACGGGTAACGGTTACCCATTTGCGCTCTCTGGGCCACAATAATCAATACACATCCGGAGCTTGCCTCCTTTCTTTGGCACAAACAGGACAGGTGCACCGAATTCGGACTCACTAGGCCTAATCCATCCACGGTCAATCATGTCATCGATTTGTCTCCGCAGCTCCTCCAACTCGCCTTGTCCCATAGGGTAGACGCAACCCTTCGGAGGAACACTCCCTTCTATTATCTCAATCTTGTGTTTGACTGGACACTCGGGTACTCCGCGAGGTTCAGCCAAGACTTCAGGAAATCGATCTAATAGACAGCGAATGTTCGCTGGGATTTCCGGTGGAGGATCATCCTCATCAGGGGAAAGAAAACCAGATTGAGAATTTACAGCAATCACAACCGGTTTCGAGGTATTTGGATCAGAAAGAGGTTGGTTTTTTATAGTAGAAGTAGGTGGAACAGTAGTAGAAGTAGTAGATGGAGAGTTACCTTCAGAGGTAGAAAATGCAGCAAAAGTAGAAGGCACATAAAGAGGCTTCACAAGAGCTATATGTACAAACTCAGCTTCCTTGCGCTTCTGCACTGACCTGCAGAATTTGTTTGCACTTAGAAGAGTCACAGGAGACTCGCGCGTCTCATCTAATAAGACGGTACGCTCGTTCCCCTTGGCATCAAGTACCACGAACTGATTGTCCGCCCACGTGGTCCTTAGGCAATGAGCCTTTAGCCMRCCCAAGCCAATGACCGCGTCGAACGGACACTTGTCCATGACATAGAAGTTGAGCTCATGTGTGACAGTGCRGTCCTTGTCAAAGGTGATGCGCACACCTTTGACAGCATGAGTGGAAGTGACAACCTCTTGGTTGCCTACTTGAGTCCGACAAGGGTTATGCAGTTCCACTCGCTTCATACCCAGGCCCGCCTTACGAATCCCGTTCGGAGGGAAGAAATTAGTGGTTGAACCACTGTCTATCAGCACACGGATATATCGGCGATTAAGGAGCAGTTTAAAGAAAGTCAGCTCCACGCCCCCTTGAACACGGCGTTGCTGCTTGAGCTGCAGCCTGTGCTCCATGTGGGCGTGGAAGTCAACTTCTTTAGACTCCTCCCAAGGCTCAGTGTATAACACTTGGACTGCACCAGCCTTGGAATTAGCATTAGTTCGGGCTTCAAGAGCAAGCTGCTGATCAGATCTAGGCTCCTCGAAAGGGCCCGCAATTGGCTGCTCATCTTCCCTTGTCGTAGGGAGCGCTGATGTCTCCTCTACGCCCCTTGCCTGTTTCCCTGAAGACGATAGCAATCCTGCACAGCATGCCCAGGCTTTTCACAATGCAAGCATATGCGCAGTTTGAACCTTCTTTCCCATTTTTTTTGGCTGATGCGGAGGGCTTCCCAAGGCTTGGTAGAAGCGTCCTCCGGTTTCTCAGGGATCTTAGCATTTTTGGGAAGGTGTACGACAGTTCCCTTACCCGAACCACGGTTAGGCCCCTTATTTGAAGCAGTCTTTCTGAATGCATTAAGTTTTTCATCTTAATTTCTGTCACACTCAATATTTGATGTGGAACAGCCCGTATCGGAGTCCGGCTCTAGATCGTCATCTAGAGACAGATCATCCGCATAGAACTGATCTTCAGCCTCCCGGTGATCATGCAGTGCAAGCTGGTTGCTGCTTCCAAACCGCTTGCGTTGTGGTTTCCCACCTGCAGCGGGCGCCTTAGAGGTCCTTGGCCTCTAGGTTGACTAGGTCCTTCATGAGCTCTCGCTAGGTGGTATGGTCCTTGAGTGCTAGCAGGGAGAGGTATTCTTTAGGGGCCACTCCCATGACTACATTCATACACGACACGTCAGTCATTCCCAGATCCGGAGTGGTGAACAGACTAGTCAAGTGTTGTTCCAAAGCCTGCATGGATGGCCTCCATGTTTGACCCTTGAGGGCCTCCAGCTTCAACCTAGCCTTGAGCGCAGCATGTTTATCTTGGTACCGGTCAAGGAGAAGATCCTCAAGAGCGCGGACAGGGGTGACCTTCAGCCATTCAGTCAGGTCTATGCATTCATAGCCTGCAGCGACAGCTTGGAGCTCAATGTGGTTTCGTACGGCGGGCTCAATATTAGTTCCCATGATCATACTTCGGTCCTCTTGCGGTGTCCGCATGACCTCGAAGTACGACCGCATGGAACTAATCCAAGAGTTGGTGTCTGTCTTCCCATCGTACTTGGACGGCAGCGTGGCCGCCCGCTTGTCCACCATGGGACCGTTGTACTGAACGCCAGTAAGGACTGTGGCGTTTTGGGYTGAAGTCCCTGTATTTGGGACCATGACCAACGCAGAACTGTCGGCGCTGCCGCTCGAGGAGCTGGCACCGGTTCCTACTCTTGCCATGGTTCCACTTGATCTTACTATAAGGGTTGTGTTTGATTGAGAGACCGGGACTACAGCAGACCGAGGGTTAGGAGGGCGGGGGGCAAACAACTGGGACTGTTTGAGGCTGGTTATCTCAGCCTGCAGCTCTTGGTTCCGCTGCTCCAGCGCTGTTACGCGGGCCTCGAGATCTTCCAAGTTCCGCAGTCGAACCAAGGCTGCGACGGCAGCAGCTAGCCTCTCCAGGAACCGGTTAGCATTGGCTTCCGCGACCTATAGGAGAGCCTCTTGAGCAGCTATACTTGTAGCTCTAGCTGCTGCCTCTGCCTCCCTTTCCTTCTGTATGGCATCATCATACAACTTTTGGAAGAACGGTTTCTGGCTCTCGTCTGCTGCGTCCAGCATGGTCTGCCATTGGACAGATATGATGTCCGCCATGCCGGAGGAAGGGGTGTCAGTAGATCACTCAAGAGGGGTCCGCTCTCTCCTTACGTTTGAACGAACACTCCTCTTGCCCCTCCTCACACTCTCAAACAACACACCCTCTCTCCCCCTTTCTTCTCTTTTTGTTGTCTGCGCACGCGTCTCGATACCGTACGTAGATAGTTCAGGTGAAAGAAACAAACAGAAAACCACTCAGAGAGGAAGGTAAAACTCCTAGCCAGAGCGGCGAATCATTTGGACTTAGAACGTGGCACGCAGCAGAAGAATAAATAAATAAAACGGAAAAAA